GAAAAAAAAATTTTTTTTTTGAAAAAATCCCTGTACTCCCCCTCAGGGATGGTCTGGTCAAAAATCACAATTTTTTCGATAACTCAGCCATTTCTTGACGGATCCTGCTCATCTTCGAACTTGACCGAGACATTGTTAAGACTGAACTGTGTAGAAAATTTCATCACGATTCGACTCTCCTTTCGAAAGTTATCGGATAAACGGACGGACGGCCGGACGGACGGACACACTGACCGATTTTAGTAGTGTACTCACTTTTTGAGTACACAATAAAATTTGTAATGCCGCTTCATACTCGCTCTGAAGATACGGGATAACTTTTTCGTTTGTTTGCATAACGCAACTGGCATACCATACACATTTCTAAGGTCATCTTGGCAGTGATTGTATATGAGTAGACATATTCAACTGTTGCTTTTAAAGTGGCGCGTGTTGAATCAGACCCACTCAGATTGGACTGATGGAGCCCAAACCTACATTCACTTCTTCTTTTTCATTTAATATGAAATTGCGATAAAATGTTCTTTTTCGTACAAATTTTATACACATTGATAGAAAGCTTGTAGTGAATATTCCATAAAGCACAAGATGTCCTCAGTATGATAGAGAAAAAGTTATAATATAAAAGGTGAATAGTTCTTTATGACAAATGGAATTACTCATGTTCATTGATTTGATCGTCGAACATATATAGATTTACGATGTCCGTTAGTAGGAAAAGTATCTTTATTTTCTATATTAGAAAGTTCATCTTCATAATTAACCAATATATTAGTACCTTTTTCTATGTGTTTTTATTTCTATTGCATCGAAAAAACAACATGAATGTACTTTTTTATTTGTTAAAGGGTTTATATAATAATTTTTGTAGAGATTAGAATTTGTATTATATAGTTTTAATGTCTCAAATAGGAAATAATGTTGATTAATCATTTACTGCAAACCCGAAGAATCACTTTGAAAATGAGGATCTAAAAATATATAATAACATTATAAAAAATATCTTTCTTAAATTTTATCAATACATATGCTTAGAGCAATTCAAAGATAATGATAAAGATACTTTAATTCCTTATAAAAAGTTTACAGGAACTTTCTCTCCATATGAACTAAAAGTGAAAGTAACGCTCTGTTTTTCTGCACTATTGTGTTATTCTGCAAGTAATATTATAATAATAAAACTGTAGTAAGACCTATTTCTTTATCATACGTGACGGTTACATCAGTTTATATTTTTATCGATAGATACTTTCTTTATTCTTTTTTTTATTCGTCTCGACCATCACCTAACCGTTGATACATAGACAATAAAAAGACACATGTTCTCTTTATTAGCGTGTGCTCAAGAAAATTAAAGAAATAAAATTAAGTTAAACCTTCTCGGTTTTAGATGAATAGGAAAAATCGTCCCTTGCAGCTATCTTTGTGACGATGAAGCTTCTTCCCTTCGAACGCTTGAAAAATAGTCTAAATATTTTCGTGAAGGTTGAGATATCAAAAGCAAGGCGCAACCTGTTAGACCTTTATCGTAACACCATGTGAAAATATTGCACAAGTTCCTACCTCAATTAATGATGAATGTTTTATTATTATTATATTAGTTAAAGAATGATATAATAATAGAGATAGAGCGTCGATTTTACTGTTTGTTTAACAAGGGATAGTGAGTCTTTAAACATTTTTTATAAGGAATTCAAATACCTCCGCCAACACTTTTAGATTGCTCTAAGTATTTATCACTTTTAGAATTTATTTTAATTCTTACCATCATTGTCTTTATTTTGTTTTGCATGAAAATCTTGTATATCATTATTAAATTTCTGGTTTACATAACCTAAAGGATTATTTAGTTTTAATAATTTGAAAAAAATTAAATTTACTATCGACTGCCGTAGCATCTTGATATTGATCAGTAGTATAATCGACATTTTGTGAATAGTCATTTCCTTAATTATACACACAAAAAACTATTTCATGATATACACAAAAAAAAGAAACCTTGATCATATTGGTATGTGTCCGGATAAAGATAACTATCATTTCCTTGATTGTTGTTATCATACGGAGTATCGTAATCGACAATATAGTCCTGATTGCGACCATCATCTCCGTCGACCGGATCAGTTACAGGATAAGAATCATGATCAATATCGGAAGAGTGACTCTGATCATTGTCAATAGGATTATCATTCTTTTCAGGAGACCAACTGTCTTCTCCAAAATTAGCATTCACCAACTCATGAATAGCCCATACATCAAAACAATAAGTTTGGTGAGTCAAATAATCATATGGCATATAACAATATCCTTTATCACCCTAAAATGAAAAGAAAGCAACATTATTTTTAAGAACAAAAATCATATTTACCCAATCTTCTCCCCATGAATTTCGAACAATAAATGTTCGTGATTGATCATTATAACCAACAGCTAACATTGCATGACTACAAACAAAAAATATATTTATTTACTTTATTCATTAAAAATTTAAATGAATAAACCTTCCATGGATTTCTAGGCTCATTTCATTTTTATCTGGCATTGGTACAATACCGCTTTCTGATGCTTTATTAAATGAAGCAAACAAATCTAAACCAAATACAAATGGAAAACCATCTGCAAGACATTTTTTCATTGCGTTTAAATCAATGTCAACTGAAGCTGCTGGTTTTATTGAATGATCTTTTGCTTGCGCAAAAGCTTGTTCACTAGGACGTGTATCAACTTTTGATATATCATATGGCCAGAGTGATTCGAGACATACACCAAATTCACTTAACGCCTCAATAGCATCAGTCATCACACAACCAACATCTTCGATTGGTCCTCCGTCGACATTACCTTTAACTCGTGCATTATAATACATAAATAAACGACTAACATCAATATGACGACCAGTCGTTTTTTTTAATAAATATTCATAAGCTCCTAAAACAGAGAATGATAAAATTTAAACAAAATTAATTCTTTTTTTGTACCTGCAAGAGCATTAGTCGTACTAAATAAACAAAAATTAAAATAAATACGAAAATATTTAAATATTAGATTTATTTTTATTTTTACCAGCTTGAAACGCTTGATTGATCTTCAGTGGGTGTCATATGTTCTCGAAGATCAACTTCTGGTGGAAGTGAAGTAGTTCCAAAGAGTCGCTGTTTATGAATTGATTTTTTTGAATCGATTTTACTTGGTGGACGAGTTGAACGTTTAATACCATTAAGTACATATTTTTTATGTTTTGCTTCATCTATTAAATAACGTTTGGTAGACATATCTTGGTTGTAGAAATATTATAATTATAATAATTTCGTCGCCAGAAAAAATATAAATCGGTTTTTTATAATCAAAAGAAAATTTTGTTTCTTGTATATATATATATGTCTATTGGTGAATAACATGTTTTTTGCTTATTATGTTATTGTTTTTATGTCATTTCGATAGCCTGTTTACATACAGATACGAGACTAATATGAAAGAAAATATTTATTTTTTTGATCGAAAAATAATTATTCATTTCTCGGTTTCAGGGTTCGTTGTTTTTGCTTAATTTAAAAAGAAAGTACGATGAATAATGAATGAGAAAAAGTTATTCATGAAGCGACAAATTTTTTCCAGTCATAATGGCGATGATGATTGTATTACGACAAAAAAAAACCCTGTTGAATGATGAACTAATTGTCAATAATTCATTTTTACAATAGCCCAGATGTATAACTTTGGTCGAGTTCTAGCTCAGCGAAAAATATAGATGAAAATAAAATGTTTCGACATTTATCTTTGGTCAATCGAATCGATATGGTGTATTGATTAAAGATGCACTTGCAGATATTTATTATTAAAAATTATCATTGCTTTTTTTTTATTGCAAAATTTATCTTCATTATTGAAGAAAACATTTTGATGTTTTGTATTAAAAAGATAAGGACTAGAATTATAGACAAGTGTTCGTGGAGTGATCGTAATTAGGATGATCACATAGAATATATTGATTGCATAATGGTTTAAAAATTTTCTCATTTAGTTTAACATTTACAATGATTGATTTTACCTGAATGCTCTCATTACTGAACTAACTAATTTAGAATACCATCTCCGTATAGCGCACACAGTCTAACATATTGGAATTTTAAGTTATTTGCAGTCTATAACATGTTTGAACATCTCGAAACTGCAGCGTCATTTATTTTTCTTCTTTCGTCTTGATCTGATAGAGGTATATTACACATATTTAAAAGAAATTGTATTTTATTAACCTTATATTTAACAATAATAGTATTTTGAATTTTTTCATAAAATTACTTGGGAATATGTGTAATGCAGCTCTATCAACCATAATGAAGAAAGAAAGAAAAATTCTATTACAATTTTGAAGTATGACCACGTGACACATTTTGTAGTTACCTTGAAATATGAATATCTCGCTCGAAGCACTTTCTGCGTAACTCATAAGATAAATTAGTTAGTTTGGTAGTCAGAGCAGAGTGTGGGTGTGTGTAGATTTCGGTTTAAGTATGAGTGTTCTGCTCGCCTACGCCTCACCCACTCTTCACCCACACCCATACCAACACCCACCCAGCATTGTATGATAAGTTTGATTTTGAATGCATATTTCTCGTTTGATGCGACGAAATGCATTTTTGTACATGATAAGGTCAAAATCCATGCGTAATTAGGTATTTCTAAGTTTGTTCATCTATCAAGTCATATAAATTCTTTTTTCTAAGATTTAACACTTGAACAAGAGAAAATCAAAACATCCATTGTTGATAACATCAAACAATTCTACTCACTATTAACTAACTATCATCGTTGTCTTGCATTAGGGTTGGTGCAGGTGCGAGTATGGATCAGATTAGGTGTCGGGTAAATTAATATCTATACCTATATCCGTCCACTTTGTCATCTTTGGGCGGAATGTGGATGTGGGTGTAGAGTAGAGCCTGTCAGGCCCAACATATTTGTACCCATACCTGGGCCCGTATCCGCTTTGTTGAACTTTTCTTGAAGCCTTACCCGGTCTTTAAAAAAGATTTCATAACCGGACCCAGACCCTACTTGGGCTCGGGTTTGATCCGATGGGCTATAGTGTGAAGATTCTGTTTATCCATAGCCACAGCCACATGATGAGCGATAGGAAAGCAACTAAATATCGAAACATAGTGATATTAATTTGCCAGTGGCATTGAGAAAAGACTGATTTTTAGATTATAGCTGAAAATGTTACTCTTTTTACACCTTTCATGAACTTGACCTTTATGAATCAAAATTTGGTTTAAATAGATAAAATTTGTATCAAGCCTGGCCAGTAGGGTTATTTATATATATTAAGTGATCATGACTTTTGGGACATCATGTCGAGAAAATAGTTTCAGCTTTCAAAACAAATTCTGTTGACTGCTTTTTGATTCACGTACTATATGATATAAACTCATAATGATCTATTTAGAAAGCAAAACATAAAAAGAACCAATAAATGTGAATTAGAGAAAAGAGAGGGAAAAGAAAAATAGACGACGTTCATTCAAATCTTCAATTTTCTTTCTTCAAACGAATAGATTAACAACTTAATGAATGTAGAAGTAGTCCTTTGGTATCTTCTCCTAGATATTAGTAACATTGGAAAAAACTGTTAATAAAAACGAATATGTCATCAAAAAATATTTTCTTTATACAACCGATTGTTGTATTGATCATTAGTGGAATATCAAGTGAATTTTCAAGAGAATTTTTTTTTGTGGGGTGTGGGTGTGGATGTTACTCTTCTCATAGTTTCACCCACACTCACACCCACACTCACACCCACGCCCACACCCACATCCGATTGATTGATCATGTGGAAATTGAAACTGACCATCTGCTTCAGCTACTTCAGATAATTTAACAAACGATACTATTGGAAAGTCAACTGAATTTTATCTTATTTTCAATAATCATATATAGGATTAAAGAAAAGAAAGAAATCGATTACTACGAAAAGTCTTCCATTCCAATGCATATCTTAATTAAATTTAAATTAAAAAGAGAAAAAATAAAAAATAAAATAGTTAATAAATTATTGGTCTATATCCTAAATGTGTTTCAATAGGACCATGAGATGTATGATTTCGACTAAGTTTAAAATGAGGGTGTGGGTGTGGGTGGGTGTGGGTGTGGGTGGGCGTGGATGTTACTCTTCTCATAGTTTCACCCACACCCACACCCTACACCATTCGATAGAGAATTTGACGAGCTACAAAATGGTATATAAAGTATTAAAAATTGAGCTCAAAATTTTGAGCCAAGGAAAGGGTTTTTTGAGAAAATAGCGATATTTTATAAAGGTTGGCGAAAGCAAATTGGGGTCGAGGAATCTGAATCTGAAGTCAGATTTTGAAAATCTTGAACTCCATTTTTTGGGTGAAAGGAAGGTTTTTTAAGAAAATAACGATATTCTATAAAGGTTGACGAAAGTAAATCGGGGTCNTGTGGGTGTGGGTGTGGGTGTGGGTGTGGGTGTGGGTGTGGGTGTGGGTGTGGGTGTGGGTGTGGGTGTGGGTGTGGGTGTGGGTGTGGGTGTGGGTGTGGGTGTGGGTGTGGGTGTGGGTATGGGTATGGGTGTGGATGTAGATAAATAGAAGAATCATATAGAAACTAGTTGATTCTAAACTTACCTGATGATAAACCCTTAATTAAGGTTCGAAACGCGTCGTAGGACGCTTGAAATCTCTAATAGAAACTCACCCTTTCTTATTTCTACCACTAAAACATCTTGGAAATCTAGATTGAGTGATCGAACGAATTCTTTTGAGAGTTTTCTACTCTTATTAGTCTTTGCTTTGATTACTTCATTTTCTTCCTGATGTTCTATGTAGAATTATTGATTCTAAACTTACCTGATGATGAACCCTTAAGCAAGGTTCGAAACGCGTCGTATGATGCTTGAAATCTATATTGGAAACTCACCCACACCCTCACCCTCACCCACCCTCAAGATAGTCAGCGGTCGGGACCAACTTGAAGTGCTTTTTTTCAGTTCAGAAACTTCTCGAAGATTGTGTTCGAATCCACGCTGGACACCTGCCCTCTATCATTGGCAACTCTGTACAAAGTCGATACATATCTATGCCACGATGTGGCTGCATCCATCAACGGTGTATGGTTGAGTCTTTTCGTCTACATGTTTCTGATCATCTTCGGTTTCGGCATCTGTGGTCTTCATTTTTATAAGCGATCGCAACCTTCTCCCACTTCTCATCAATCATTTCATTCGCCAGTTTATTTTTAATCATTGTAAACTTTAAAACTCGAATTCAAGCTACGACGACAAAAGAATGCTACTGGTCTGAGCATATCGATCCCATAATCGCGAACAAACGAAATCATAATGATGATATCTCATCTGCGACGAAATATCGAGAACCAAATCACCATCCGACGAATTTTGATAAGGATCCCAATGCGTAGGATTTCCTCGGAAGTTCGGATCCGATGTATGAATGAAATTTGCCCAATATAAAGTCATGCTGATGGAGAGTTGCTTTTCCAATGCATTGAATTTGTAAAAAGGATAGACAAACGGAAGCAGATCTGGAAAGAGCATGGGCAGCTCAGCTGCATGAGCGACACCCAAACAATGTGGTGCAATGGGAATCAGGTGATCATAGGTGTAGAAATAAGCTGGCAAGCCATGATCAGCAAATCGTGAAGCAATACGTCGGGATCCGCAATGGGCCCACGAATCACTGTAAATGATATTTAAATAGATCAATGGATTAGGATAGGTGGATATGGGACCATAGATGGACGTGATTTCGTTCAGCACGGTAGTGTTGACCAGAGTGCTTAGAAATATTTCAACCTGTGCAGCACTAGCCGTTTGATTGAAAATCGGACAAGTGAACAGAGATGTTTCATTCGTAGTCGATCCGATTAACACAGGAACTCTCTGAAAACTGCCTCTCACGTAAGAATCTTCCATGATATCATTTAAGACGTAGCCATCAATCACTGGCATAGCCGATGCGCCAAAGATACTGTGAGAAGCGATAAAATTCTGAACGGTGAGAATCATCTCGACTGTGATCGTGCGCAAACATTGTACGGTAGTACAATTAGCCATCACTCGAAGGATTTTGCCACTGCTGTTAATAGCCTTCTCCAATGGAGTGGCAGCACTGGGCCAAAGGCCACCACTTTCAATAATAGCTCGCTGAAAAGTACCATTCGTCGTCAATGGAGAGGTTAGAAGAATGGTTACACCGACACCACCAGCACTCTCTCCGCCAATAGTAATTTGCCCGGGGTCTCCACCAAAGCCAGCAGCGTTCTTTTTGATCCAGTCTACGGCCATCATCTGATCTAGGATACCATAGTTGCCGGTGGTACTACGATTATTGACGCCTGATCTTTCCTCGTACAATGCTTCATCGGCAAGAAATCCCAGTAAACCCAGTCGATAATTGATGGTGACGACAACGATCGGAACCGAATTCTTCACACTGACGCTAACGAACGATGCAGCATCGTACTCGACACCAGCGCCGGTTGTAAAACTACCACCATGAATCCAAACATAAACTGGCAAATTATTTGCATTCATAGGTGTATATACATTCAAAGTGAGGCACGATTCGGTGAATACAATGCGAAAATCATTCTTTTGTGGACAAACGTTGGGAATCAGCGCATATCGAGTACCATGGGACGTAGGAAGCTGCTGAGGAGGCATCCATCTAAGACGACCAATCGGTTGCTGTGCGTACGGTATGCCATACCAATAGTTAACGCCTGTCCCATTCACTGTCTTTCGTTGCCCGATGTAAATACCCTGTTGAGTTTGAGCGCTCGGTGCAGTATTCATTGCTAAGGTACTCGGAATGATCAGCACTACGAACAGTGCTCTTGTGATGAAACTCATGTCTATCAAACGCAATGAAAGAATGCTCTTTGAATAACAAGAAAAGTGAGAAACAAATAACTCACACCGTATCTTATCATCTCCATTTTTTTCTTTGGCTATGATGACGATGTAATCGTGAGCTGATATCAAAACGGACGTATTCGTCGCATCGACAAGCCGTCGAATGTTCTGTCCTCGGTGCATTGTTCATCATCGATCTTTCTGATACGGCCACGGCACCGATTGACAAAATACTGACCCTCACCGTCAAGAACGACCGTGTCTCATGGTATCTCACTGTGTATACCGCTCTTTTTATTGTGTCAATCGAAAAACAGCTATCAAACCAAAATGATCAGATACAAAGACCGGGTGTGGGTGTGGGTGTGGGTGTGGGTATGGGTGCGTGCAGGTGTGGATGCGTGCAGGTGTGGGTGTGGGTGTGGTAGGGTGTGGAGTGCGGGTGGTTGCGGGTGTGTGCGGGTGTGGGTGTGGGTGTGGGTGTGGGTGTGGGCGTGGGCGTGGGCGTGAGTTTTGATTAGATCACCCACACCCACACCCACACCCTACTCAACTTAGTGTGCCCTGAAAATGTTTTCTTATTGTTTTATTTTGTTTTAAAAGTGTTGAACAAAATATTTTCTCTATGCATGCCAAATTTCTCTAATGGAAAAATTAAAAACTTCTAATTAGTCGAAAAATTTCGAAAAATTTACAATCATCTACTGGTTCCAAATACTCGTAATGTTTTGGAAACCGAGCCGAAATCGCAGTTCTGATTCTGAGTTTATTTTGGAATCATCGAACTCTAGCTGTAAATTGTAAATCTTCTTTTGACTCCTACTGCAGACTCACAACTTCACACATGAAATCCATTCATTCTCCTTAGAAAAAGGGTTGCAGAACACGTGGATGAACGTGTCTGGGGATTTAGGTTCGCTTACCAAGCACTCTCATGGGCGACCACCCACACCCACAAACACAACTAGTCATTTTTTAAGCCTTATATGATGTATGTCGACACTAACATACCAGTTACCTTGTTTTTCTATGATTCTCACATGCTTGAGAGCGTCATCTAGATTCCTTTGTAATTCACAGATCCAATGGACACTATAATCGATTGTAATAAACAATTTGAATTCTTTCAGGTCTCGTACGATTTTCTTGATATTGTTGATCACTGTTTCTTTTGGTTGCAACAATTTTGCAAGATCATTGCTCGAAAATATATTTGCAAATTCCTTTTCATATTGATTAAGCGTCTCCTTTTCGTTGCTCCATTTATTTTCATAATCTTCAATTAGGTTCTTATTCTTCCTATCGATTTCGTCTATGTCTTGTTTTATCTGTCTTTCTTGCATGTCAATCGTTGCACGGGTAGACATGAACACTGCAATAATTTTGTCTTTGTTAAGATTTCTATTTGAATTCATCATTTTTCGTGCATTGTCTAAAGCTTTTTCCAAATATGATTTAGTATTGTCAATTCCATCCCTCAACTGAATTTTATGAAAGGTTGATTTGTGAAAGTAGCACACATACTGACTATTTCATTAATACAGACCTCTTGTTTTACATATTGTACAATATCACCATTGGCTGTAAACTCATGGCCTTGATGATCAAATAACAGCAAGTCAGAACAGACTGTTTTCTTGCATTTCTAACACCAGTATTTCGTCTTTTCATCTGGATGTTTGTCACATCACATCAGTTCGCACGGATTTTGATCAACGGGTATCCTTTCATGTGTGCTGATAGCTGGTGACTGATGAACATTATTGCTACATTTCGGGCAATAATTAATTGCGCACGTCTTACACCAAAGTTTAGCTTCATTAGAACAATCATTCGAACATTATACGGTAATTACAATCAAAGCAATCGAAAGTGTGGATGTGAGTGTGAATAATGAGAGTAACCACAACCCAATGAAGGAAAAGCGAGACTTCAGTATTTCACATACTCTACTGTACTTCATTCGTTCTTCAAAATTGTGCTTGAAGTACAGTGAAATTCGAGTTAAAGTAAAACTGAAGTACAAGTGAAATGGAGTTAAGTAAAGCGAAGTAAGAATGAAGTACAAGTAGAAACACAAGTGAAGCACAGGGAACTACGAGTAGTTACAGAGGCAGTACAAGTGAAGTACGGTGAAGTCTCCCTTTTTCCACCTTGTCACACCCATACTCATACCCAACACGTAGAAACGGACCAAATTTCTAAGCTGAAAAGACATTTTGTCCAAGTACCTTCATTGAGCTGAGTGAGATAAGAAGAAGAGAATACATCGATAGATTAACTAGAACAGATGCATGTTTGCCGAAAGCACGAAGGATGTACTCACTTGATTGTTTCCATCGAATATTAGACAGCTCGGACAACAATGCCATCGGTAGAGTGGTCAGAAGAGAAGCATGTCAGTACAGACAGCAAATAATGAACTCAATCGCTAGTCACTATTGAAAATAATAGAAAGGTCATGATAATGTGATCGATGATTAATCGTGTTCTTTGTGATCCGGACAGTGTTACGCATGAGCAATTGAAAACATTAAGTCCTTTCTGCTCTCTCTCCTTAGTTATTATTTGAGAAACAACACGGCTTACGGTTTGACTGTCTATGGCGGTCTTTCACTCACGGATGAACAACTGTCAGATTTCATGAAAGAAGAAATACTGTTCACTTTGTTCACTTCAACTAGTCGAAGACGTGCAAAATCTGAACAATTTGGCAACACTTTATTGATCTGTGATCTCGATGCCAAACACAATAGAGCTAAATTTAAGAATGTTGCACGTGGTACAGATATATCGTCACTCTCAGATTTTCCTGACGAGGAGGAATATCTAATCTGGTCCACAACAATATTTCGTTATGTTAATTATGAATATGACACTGTAAAAAACAAACATGTTATTTACCTCAAGTCATTTGATAACAATTTTTGAAGCGCACATTTAAACACACTTTTATTTTAACCAGTAGCAACATCGAGTGCCATTCTAACATGTCTTTTTTTGTAAATTAAAAAAATGCTCCCGTAAGCCTTTTTCATAGTGTCATAATAATAAGATTTTACTACAAAAAACACTAGTCTTTCTCTGCAGGATCTATTAACTAAAGAAAGAATTATGTTATGATCGTTTAGTAATTCTTGCTCTTAATCCATATTTGGGTCGCATTGTAACACGAACATCGGGAACAATTTTTTGGCCAGGTTCTAATTCAAAATTGCATCGTTGTACAAGCATGGCTAACATAATTTTAGCTTCAAGTAAGGCAAAATTCTGACCAATACAATTACGCGGTCCAGCTCCAAATGGTAAATAACAAAATGGATGAGCCAATTTTGGCTTAAGACCTGTTACAGGATCTCGAATCCAACGCGTATAATCAAATTCAAGTGGTCGTGGCCAAAATTCTTCTCGTCGATGAAGGATATAAGTATTAACTGAAACTACTCCTCCAACAGGCATACGTATTTGACGATGACCTTCTTTACCTATATAATGTTCACGAATACATCTTCGTGCAATAAAAGGTGCTGGTGGATACAAGCGAAGTGTCTCTTGTAGAACAGCCTCACATATAATTAATTCATTCAAATATTCATAAGTTGGTTCGATGCCATTGGGAAGTACTCTATCGATTTCATCTCGGCAAGCTTGTAATACATGTTTGTGTGTCATTAATAAATACATAGTCCATGTCATTAAATTACCTGTTGTCTCATGGCCAGCAAGTACAAAAGTTAATGATTGATCTTTGATCTCTTGATCATTAAACGGTTGTCCTTGATCATCGACAGCTGACAGAAGAAGATCGAGAATATCTTCACGAGAAGATAAACTAGTTGATCGATTATGTCGGCGATCGGCAATAATTTCATCGACAAAATCAGAAACCTCTTGAGAATCTTTTTTTAAAATATCTTTACGCCAAAATGGTAATTTTGAAATAATAGGTATTTGATCAATCAGACGTACATTTCGATATTGGATTGCTTCCAATAGTTCAGTAAATGCTCGACATACAATTTCTTTCGCATTAGCTATTGTTTCGAAACCCTTACCAAATGCACTTGATGAAATAATAGCCAATGGTAGAGCATTTAATTCTGTTTGTAAATCGACAACTTGTTGGTCAATTGACAATGAAATAAGTTCGTTAATAGCTTGACTTGTTTGATTAATCATAATCGAAACCATGGATTGTAATTTAACAAAATGAAAAGCCGGGTTGAGCATTTTTCTTGCACGTTCATGTTCTGTACCTTCGCTAACTAATAGATTATGTACACCAATTAAAGGTTTAAAAAAATTATCAGTGTTAAGTGGTTTCGTATAATCTTGAGCATGCGGTCGACCAAATATATCGGCAAGCATATCTGGTTCGAGCACAACTAAATATATTGTCGGACCGAAACATATTCCATATATATATCCATGCTTTTGAACGAGTTCCATTCGATAATCCATTACAGTATCTTTGTCAGATGCACGACGCATAGCCGGTAATTGGCCGAAGAATGGGACGAATGGTTCGCATGATATACCTTGACTACGAAATATATTATAAATACGTTTCTGTCGGCGGATAAATTTCCAATAAAGCAAGAAGAAAACCGAAGAAAATATACCAACAATGGCGTAGAAAAATATAAGCAGATCCATGTCAATATATATCAAACTTTAGAAGAGCATAATCTTATGTAATAGTGTGATGATGATGAAGCAAAATTTCTTTTTCTTTTTCTTTCTTCCTCCGTTATATGATGAAACATTATGACATTCGCTGCAGGCATGTCTTGATAAAAAGAGCAGAAAAAAGCCAGCTGTCATCTATCGTCTTCATGGATAAAAAAAATGGCGTGGATTTTTTTGCTTGATATTCTGCATTATACCGTTCTGCTCCCATGCGTAGTTTAGAAATAAATTCAGTTCAGTGAATCCAATCG